GGAAAGACTAACGACAGAATACCATCTGTCTGTGGTTGAACGTGAAATCAGAGGAGGGAGGGTGGCACTGCTGGTACACCTGTGGGATCTTCTGCCTGGAGCTCTTCAACCTCAGCCTCCCCTTCACACAATGCACAGGGTAAGGTCTATGCAGGTTTAACATTTGCAAAACCAGGGATGGAAAACGCAGACACAATATAGCAAATAGATGGTCTTTTCCTGACATGGAAATCGGTCAGCCCTGATGCTTCTATATTTCTTTCCCTTTCTGCTTGTGATCAATCACACATGAGCCCATGGCAGCTTGGGCTGGAGAAACATGTAGCACAACAGAACTACCTGACCGAACCCTGTATCAAATACACATGCCCTCTGCCTTAACCGCAGGTTCCTGTTCTATTTGGTGTTCCAACATTGTATCTCCATTTGATTTCCTGACACTTCCATCCATCTGCAGGGCTTTCTGTGCTATGAATATTTATTTTTAGTTAAAGTGGATTCAAATTTCCAGAATAATTTTAGGAAGAATTCCCAGGTACATTTAGGAAGCAACAAAGCAGGGGCTGGACTCTCTGATCTGATACTGCTTTGTGACTCGAGCACTGAAGACACACACACAGCATCTGTTCCTGAGAAGCAATGTTCACCCCAGGTGGGTCTCCCTCCATTCCAATCCACTCCTGGGTGATTCCCCCTTGTGGACCTGTGCTAAGGGTCTAGGGAACACAAGCAAATTAATTTTAAAAGAGGCTCGAGCCAAAAAATTTAGGAAGATTAAATTAATCTACATGACAATTCCCAGTAAGAATGATTTTTGTACTGTATACTCCTATCGCCTCTCCATGGGAACGTGCACCCAGTTCCTACTCAGAGAGGCTGGTATGGATTCATCTGTGCACAGACACATGGATGTATGTCCTATAACAGGCTAATAGCAGGGCCAGCCTGACTTAACCAACATCCATACAGCGCTCCACCCCCTTAGGTGTAAACAGTTTAACCTAGCAAAAACATCCAGGGAAGATGCAATCACCAGCGAGAGGAGCAATCGCACCTCAAGTGGAAGTTTATGATGTTTTGGTTCACAATGAACATTAGTCTCTCCCACTAATGTCAGGCAGTAATTCACCACTGAACAGCAGCCATAAAAATGATCGCTTAGTGAAAGGAAAGCAAGAGGCAGAGAAAGAGAGAGAGGGAAAGGATTTCAGCAGAAATATTCAAGCAAAGAAATCTTGTGCTTCTGAGACAACACTGAGCTGATTGTCCCAATTCAAGCCAAAGGTTTAGGTTTGCTTGGCCCTAAAGCCAGTCAAGATGGCATTTGCCTTACGATTTTTACCTATAGTGGAAATATTAACAGTCTGTAGGTTATTGCTAAGTTCCTAGACACCTACTCATGACTGTAGCATTTATAGGTCATATTTCTTTACACACATACCCTTAAAGCTCACCACAGGAAGAGGCTGCCAGTACCATGACAACACACACACATCAGAAAACATCAAAGACATCTAAATTGGTACTTTCCTCACCTCCTTTCCCCCTGCTTCATGTGATGTGTGCACCAAAGGAGTGAAATCACGGTCATCAAAGACAAGGTTGCAAATGATTGGGATTCATGCCTTTCAAGCAAAATAAAAAGTCAGTAATTTTGAGGGCAGCCCACAGATAGCTCAGTCTAGCTCCTGGGCCCCTGAAACCCACAGCAAACACCCTTACTCTTAGCATCCCCCCAAGCTGTCTCCTGACCACCTACCCCCATTTCCAGTCTCTTGTCATACCGTAAAGCCTTGATACACACAGGAGATTATTATAGGGCTCAGAGAAACCAACTCTATAATTATGGCTACAGTATGATTTCCATTATTTTCACGCCCTGGCCTCAGTTGCTTGCAAAACTTCCAGCAAAATCCTCCTGCAGCTTCACAACTTGTCATGGCTGGGTCTCTGCCCAAAAGGTGACTGTGGTCCTGATAACCTCTGGGAAAAGCAAGTCGGAATTATTACAAGGAAAGGGGAGTGGTGCTTAGTGAGTGAGCGGGGGTGGGGAATTCTATTGTTCGAAAAAAAATAAATAAACGGGTCACTTTTGCTTTTTATTATTTCAAACAACAGACTCGGCGGCCCAGCCTTCCTTTCCCAACTCAGACTGTTCCCTTGGGCCAGCTGTGCTGAGTCTGCAGGCACGGGAGCTGGGCGTGAGCAAAACCATTAAAAGGCTGCCACTCCGAGCCTGCAGAGCAGAAAGTTTGGCTCCCCGCCCCGCCCCCCATGGCCTGGCTTTCCCCAGGAGGACTGAAGGCTCATTCCCCGCAACTGACCCTTGCGCTCTTACCTTTGAAATGTTTATGCCTCACCAGCCCCAGCACTGCTCTGGAAATTAGATAGAATATCCCAGGTGGCTGAAACAGAACTGTTCTTACATCAATCCACCAAAGTAAAAGATGGGAATGCCAGCCACAGTTTATGAAGCCCCAGGCTCTTGGTGGGGTGTTGCGTGTGTCGCCTGTCACTGCCTGCCTGCCTGACTGCTGGGCTCTGTCCTCACCTGCCTCAGGAGGGTCGTCTCTGAGCGCCTTGCTGGCCCAGGCTCCTGGGGGTGTCCTGATTCCACACTCACGGTGCTGCACTTGATTGACCTCCCTGTCAGGGAACAGATTTGGACAGGCTTCCACAGGTGAGAGAGCACCAGCCACCAAATGCCTCAACCCAGCCTTGGACCAACAGCACAAAAATGCAAGTTGACTGTCTTGGGTTTACAATGCATCCATGGACAGGAAACACCTTCCTTTTTCCAAGAGAAAATAACTGTTTTGTTATGTGCACTGAACTCTCAATGTTCATTTCATTGATAACATTCACTGCCCAACCAGCTCAGACAATCACACACACACACACACACAAATCCTCATCCAGGGTCTACTCCATCCTGCCAGCTAGTAAATGGTCCTCTGGCAGCTGGTAGGAAATTCAGTGAGTAGGACTGTTTTAGAGCAAGGCAGGAAGTTAGCTTCTCCATTGCACTGAGATTGAGCTCACTGGAGAAAAGACTTAAAGCATCCCCCATACTGCCTTGCTGACTTATTTACTCTCAATAGTGCTCATTCACCCATTGCAGCAGGCGAAGCCGGTCTCAGTGCATGAATTGTACATAGTAATGTCCCCTGTATTTAGAATTCACTTTTCCAGCAGACCAAACTTGCCGAATCCTACTGAAGAATCGAGCCATCTGAAGTTCCTACCCAAAAGCTCACACACTTCTCTCCTCAGTGTGGACTGACGCTTGTCAGACACAATTTCAGTAAGCTTGGCAATCTGGTTTCCTAGCCTACCAAAGCTGGAAGTCGCAGAATGAGGGAGGAGGAAAGGTGCTGAAGTCAACCAGGATTCCTGGCAGCAACTGGAAGTGATGAGTGGCCAAGTGCATAAGAGGAAGACCCGGGAAGGGGGCAACAATCAGACACAGGAGCTGTGTGGGGACAACATGCCCACACCTCGCAGCATCTTCCCTGGGCATCCACAAAACTCAGTTCATTATGTGAGCAAAACTCACGAGGAGTCCGAGGCAGCAAGGAAAGATTCCATTGTGTTTACCATTTTCTTCACAGAAAGGAAGTATGAAATAGAATTATTTGCAATGAATTATGAAACACAGTTCTTAAACATGTGTTTTGCTGTTTTTGGTTGCGACACTGAATGCGTTCCACTCAAATTAGGCGGTTACTTCCTCCTAGGCAGCGCCGGCTGCGTGGTATCTCGTGGACACCATTCTTGCAGAGTACCATGATGTTTCCCCAGTGCTCAGTTTTCTTTCCCAATCATGACCCATAGAATTACTCCACACACAAGTTCCCAAGTCACAAACACACTCTGGGGTGCCCGCCTCTTGTCCTCCGCATGCTCCCATTCCAGACACACCACCAGTCCACAGAGATGCCAACAGAAATGATTGCTGGGCTGTTACACTGTAGGATGGTGAAATAGGCATAGTCCTCTAAATATGCCCGGAACATTTCCTCTTGACCATCCAGAGCTAGCAGCCAGAAACACAGCAAAGGGAAATGGAGGGATGAAGGCTCAGTCTCAATCAGGCAGTGCCTCTTTACCCAATCTGAATCACACAATGTCCAGAGAACTCCAAGAGAAGCCAAAATAAAGCAAGCAAGAACTCCACATGAAATCACCAATATTTCCTGGGAAAGGACTAAAATGCAATTATTGGCCAACAGGAAACAGGACCTCCTGCCTACCATCTTAGAAGGGCTTTTAACCCAATCAAGAAGGACATGTGCTGTAGGGCCAGCTCCAACTCATGAGATGAGAAGCCTGAGCACAGAACATCCCTCGGTGGATGACTGCTCCCAACACAGCTGATGAGCCAAGATTACCCAGGACCCCAGAACCTGCCAGCTTCCGAAAGTGCAGGGGAAAGGTCAGGTCCCCAGATCATACCATTTGACCTCACCAGAAGCAATTTCCATGCTCCCATTGCACCCGTGGTTTTCTCAGCCCACAACTTGGCTCTGGGCCCCATTTGCGACTTTAACAGGTCTGCACTTTCCTCCCTCTGTTCCCTGAATGCATTCCAGATGATACAGCAGCCAGAAGGGCTGAAGCAAGGGGAACAGGCCTGTCCCTTCCCCCTGCCCACCTTCCCCAATTGCTCAGACCTAGCAAAGCCTTTGCCTTAAAGGCACAAGCCCAAATTGAACACAGTATGTGCCATTTAGAACAACCCTGCAAGGCTGGTCTGACACCTCTCATGTGCACACCAGTTCTAGGGAGGAGGTGAATCCACACACTCACCCCGCAACCTCAGCACGGAGGCAGAGAAAGGACAAGATGATCCTCATGACCTCAACAGCAGCGTATCTCCTTAGCTCAAACTGTATCACCTGCCCACACGCCCAAGGTAGTGAAAAGACATAAGATAATTGCCAGCCCAGGAGGGTCAGACTGTCTTCACAGTAACCAAAAGGACTGCACTTCATTCCTACCTTCTTCAGCTTGCCACTTTTGGTGCCCACAAAGGCCAGAGAGTGATTCTTGTAGACATATGCGATGACAGACGTCATGCGGTCCCTGTCCTCTGTGAAGACGGGAATCCCACGCACCATGTCGGACACTCCCAGGGGGGCATTCATGTCCAGGCCACAGAAGTTATCATCAATGGTTAAGAGCTGAAAATTTTAAAAAGAGAAAAATTAGAAGGGAGCGTCAGGGAAATTGGCAGAGATATTAAGTCAGGAAACTATGGAGGTAGAAGAATCCTTAGAGATGAATCATCTGCTAACAATCCCTCTTTTTTACATGAAAAACATCACTCCAGAGAAACTAGGTGACCTGTGAAGAATCACCTGAGTGGGCAGGTGCAGGGACAAGGCAAAAAACACAGATCCCAGGTCTCCTTTCCTCATAATCTGTGTCTCTGCCTCTTCTCCAGCCCCTCCCAGCACCATCTTGGGAGCTTTGTCCATCATTATTATCATTATCATCCTCAGGTGGAAAAGCCCTGGGTCAGCCCAGATGAGCAAGGGCTCCAGGCCACTCTGCTCAGGCACAAGAGGGATGCGGTCTCCGTATCTATACACAAAGAGGAATGTGGTCTTCGTATCTATACAGAAAAGGGATGTGGTCTCCGTATCTTGAGCAGACACACACATAAGGACTCAAAAGTATAGACTAGGGAACGGAAAACATTAGCATGTAAGTAGCACCATCACAACAGAGCCATGTGCGGGCAGTCAGCTGGGGAAAGGAGCAGTAGGGGAAGGAAGGTGCTGATTCAACTCAATGTGCCACAGCTGGTGCTTTATGAGCTCCGATCGCAGGCTCCCTGTCTCTTTTACAGCATTATGAAGAGGGGCAGCCCTGGCCCTGCCATGCCTACACCAGCGCTTCCCAAAGTGCCATCCATGGAAACCCAGGTCCCTGATATGCCCTACACAAAAGGACTCTGCAGGCAAATTTCTAGAAAGCCTTTTAACACCATCTAAGAGATTCATAACGATTAGTTATGTGAAAGGTCTGGAAAGTATTTTTAAGAAAAAATATGTTTAACCTTATCTCAGCCTCTCCTAAACATTTTATTGTCTGAACCTTTTTTCTTTTCTTTTTCTTTTTTTTTTTTTAGACAGGGTCTCACTCTGTCACCCAGGCTGGAGTGCAGTGACATGATAATGGCTCACTGCAGCCTTGACTTCCCAGGCTCAAGCGATCCTCCTGCTTCAGCCTCCCGAGTAGCTGGGACCACAAGCATGTGCCACCATGCCTGGCTAAATTTTTGTATTTTTTGTAGAGACAGGATTTCATCATGTTACCCAGGCTGGTCTCAAACCCCTGGGCTCAAGTAACCACCACCCTCAGCCTCCCGAAGTTCTGGGATTACAGGTGTGAGTCCCTGCACCCAGCCGCTAAACCATTTTGACTGGAACACCTATTAGTGTTCCTTAAAGAGAATATTCTTCAGATATCCCTGAGACACTGACCCTGACTCACTTGCTCCTGACTCCAGGAAGCATAAGTTCAGAAGTCAGGAAGCTTTGGGGCCAGTTCCCCCACTGTATTTCCAGTGGAATCTCCCCTTTTTATACAAGGCCATCAGGTCCCCCATCAAACAGAGGGTCTCTCCTGGGCTCTGTGGTGCTGGGGAGTGGTGAAGACCCTGGCAGTAGCCAGTGAAAACCCCTCAGCACTCCCCACAAGCAGCTTGGGTCTGGCACACACCCCTCTGGGGTGGATTTTCCACCGTGTCTTGGAAGGACTATGTGGTCTCAGAAGAGTTACTCCATTTTCCTGTGCTTTTATTTTCTGCTCTATAAAGATGACGGAAACAATCCCTGCTTTTTGATGGGCTACCATAAAGCCTATTGCACTCGTGCCTGTAAACGTCTTTGGACTTTGCAGAGAAAGAGGTGAAATAAAATACAAGGTGTCACTTTTTTAAAGGCTTCAATCTGGGCAAAGGAAAGGGCATCTGGAGAACAGCAGGCAGGCTCTTGCCAGGGAGTGTGAAATCAGGCCACAGGTGTTCACCCGGCCCCAGCAGGCTCCTCCACTCCCTCCCAGAAGAGGTGCGGGCACTGTCCCTCCAAAGAAGGCAACCTGCTGAACATCGGAAGCCTCTCAGACCGTTCCCCATCTTCCTACAGGGTAGGGACAGCCAGAGTAAAAATGGGGAGAGCATGGGCGAGCCCGAGCAGGCCTCGTGCAGAGCAGACGTCCGCTCTCCAGGCCTTTGATAGCCTCTGGCCTCTCTTGCGTGGCCTGGTCCACCAGCCCAGGCCAAACACAACTCTCTCCCCTTCCCTTTAAAAAAAAAAAAAAGAAAAGAAAAGAAACGAAAAAGAAAAATTAAATTATTGACCAGGCATGGTGGCTCATGCCTGTAATCCCGCCAGAGGCAGGCAGATCATCTGAGGTCAGGAGTTCGAGACCAACCCTGTCTCTACTAAACAAACAAACAAAAAATTATAGGAGTCAAATTTACAAGGGAGTATTCAAGATTTAGTCTGATCTTTACCATTCTTCCCTAAATAAGGAAATGGCGAAGGAGACAGGAGGCAGAGAGTTAAAGGGAGGAGTAGAAGAGAGGAAGGACAAATCCAGGCAAAGGGGAGAAGATGCCCTGTCCCTGCTGGATATGACCACAGCAACCTGCCAGACCTTCCGAGGGCAGCCTGGGGTGCTAGGCGTCCTTGTGGCCCTTGAATGTTCCCGCTCTGGTTCACAAGGATTTCGCATCCCCGACTTTCTCAGGCCTAAACTGTGCTGCAGGGACCTCTGCCATTGCCAAGTCTGTACATCGCCCGTTATGATCCATTTTCCCAGTAGAGATGGCTGAATGGTTGTTCACACTGCACAGGGTGGGGACACTGAGGCAGGGAGAAAGGAAGTCCATGTTTCACAGTTCCCCACCACCTCTGCCACAAACATAGGCCTCATTAGCCCGAGGAAGCTTCAGGCCTCTCAGCTCCCAAAATTGCATTTCTGAGTGGTCAGGATTACTGAATACAATTCTTCCCCTCGACTGAGCACAGCACAAGCACATCAACAGCCATGTACAAAAGGAAAGTATACATTTGGCCAGTGACATCATTCACTCACCAGAAAGTCAGGGGCCTGTGACGGTCTTCCTCTGCGGAACCTCATGCAGCAAGAAGCCCAGGCGAGATCTGGGACAATGGCGGCTTTCTCCCTAAGTTTCCCCATGGCTTGGCTTTTCTCTTTGAATGTGATACAGGTGCCACTGAGGCCTTTGACCAAGCACCATCCAGGTCTGCATGATTGCTGAGGTCCCCCAGCTGTGGCAGCAGGTGGCCCTGCTCTTTGTTGCCTCGAGGCTGGGGTGATGGGGGAGGGATTTTTAAGATTGAAACAGTGGAAAAACTTGGGTTCAAATGGCAGCTCAGCTGCTTCCCAATTGCACAACTTGTTCCTACTGTTCTCTAATCTGACTTTCCTTGGCGATAGAGTGGGTAAGCTTGTAGGAGCGAAGGCACCTGGTGAGCTGGGAAGCACTTCAGTGTAAGATATTTCATGTTGATTTTTCGTGTATAGAAATCCTGCCTGGAACAGGGGTAGAATGGCTGCAGGGCGTGGCCCTAGCATGCCTCTCGACCACAGCATGCACTGCAAACACGGTATGCGTTGCTGGGTCTGAGCTGAAACCACCAGCTAATTACAGTACCTGAAGCAGGAGGAGGGAGGGTCCCCAGGGCCTGCAGACCTGGGAGGTAGACATGTAGGGAAGAGATGCCAGGGCTGCCTGGGCCCAAGAAGGGGAGGCTAATTGGTGAAAGCCTTCAACAGGTGAGGGTTGGTGTGGCTTCCTGAGACCCCGGGTGATGGGGGGAGAGAGTGTTTGCTCCAGCCCTGGCTGGGCCTTCCCCTGGGCCCCATTAACAGTGAGATTAGAGCCACAGCCAGAGGAGCCAGGTCCGGACTCTGCTATGATCAGGAACCCAGTCGTGCCCTAGGCCCAGGCCGGCCTCCTGTCACTCCACAAATACACAAAATGTTTGGCCATGATTATGATAACACTTGTTTATTAGAGAGCAACTCTACTCTCACAAGGAAAGGAAATACGGGCCCATTACATGAGAATGTATATGAAACCCATTTGGACAACCCTGTGGACAGACCCAGAAGCCCTGAGAGGGCCACACTGCCTGGATCCCTATCCGGAGGACACTGGATCTTTTTTTCACTGGCTCAAATGTCCTCATAGAATGCATGGGGTGCAAATTAAGATGGCTGATCCACTGTGCTCCAAGGACTATGAGCTCAAGGACAGGGACCGTGTTTTATGCATCTTTGTACCCCTAGCTTAGTGCCTGGCTCATAGTAGGCTAATATATGTATATTAAATGGATGGATGGATAGGTGGATGGACGGGTGGGTGGGTGCATGGGTAGATGGATGGATGGATGGATGGATGGATAGATGGATGGATGGATGAATGGATGGATGGATGGGTGGATAGATGGGATAAATTAAAGCCTGAGTTTCACAGTGGCTAACAGTACTGAACCAGAACTGTTAGGTTTGAATCCCAACTCTGCCACTTAATCCTGTGTGACCTTGAGCAAGTCACTTAACCTCTCTGTACCTTAATTTGTTACCTGTAGAATGGGGATTATAACAATAGTACATACTTTATAGTACTGTGGTGAGGATTAAATAATTTAAAACATATAGAACAATGTTTGACACTTAGTTCTATGGGAGTGTTCACTCTTATTGTTTGTTGTCATTAGATGGTCAGATGACCTTTGTGGGTCTCAGCATCTTTGAGGAAATTCATGGTATCTATCTCAGAGGTGTCATCAAGATTAAAGGGGCTAATGTTGTGAAGATGAAATAGCAAAGGTAGTTCTTCCCAAAGATCTTTCAGAATCAGATAGACATTTGGTCACAAAATTGAATGCAGGAGCTGGGGAATGGTCTCAGATCCAGAAGATTGAGCGCTATTCATTAGAAATGCACATTCTTGAGCTCCACCCCAGACATATTGGATTAAAAAGTCTTGGGTGGGGGCTCAGACATCTTCGTCTTCACACCCCTCCAGGTGATTCCAACCTCCTCTTGCTAAGGTTTGAGAAGCACTGGCCTAGATCACCATGGAGGGCCCCTCCTAGCTGAGGGCACTACAGAACACAGCATGTGCCTAGCATCCCCA